CAGATACAACAGGAGAGCACTGGTCAATACGTGCCGTTGCTAAACAGCACACGACTTTTCCAGTTGTATGAGGGAAAGCCTGACATGTGACCAAGTCATTCTGCAAGTTCGAGAGTAAGGGTTCCAAAAGAGACAGCTCAAATCCCATCAACTATCCCGTGGTCAGTGCATTAACATCTGCTTCTGAAGGTCATTCGTACCCGCTTCTCATCGGAGTTAAAATCCACTATGATGTAAGTTCCGGTTGTTAACGGTCTTTGTGGAACTACACATGGACGAACATGAATGTGGTATGGAGACAAAAATAGGTCACTTTTCTCCGAACTTTTCTCCAAACTGACCGAGGCGACATAAGAGGAATGTGGTATTATAAAAACCAGTCGATTGGAATCTTGGGTAGCCTGCTTGGCGAAAACTGAGGCTGTCGATTTCAGTTGGCATCGGGTGCCTGAACACTGCACTTGAGGGCCACAGAATCTGAACGTGGAAAGACGCACATTCCAAGCTCGTCAGAATCGGTGATAGCTTTGCAATGTACTACTCATAAGGTCGCTGAAAATCCGTCGACAGCCCACGACCGGTTTCGCCCTTTTTTGGGCTCATCGAGTAGATGCAGTCCCCGGGTTTCCGTCAACCTTGTGTTCTTCTTGAAACCAAATTGCACGAAAAAGGGCGAAACCGGTCGTGGGCTGTCGACGGGTTTTCAGCAACCTCATGAGTAGTACATTACAAACATATACATGTATCGCGATATCTCGAATATCGTAGAGACTGAAACATGAGCCGGCCTGGTGCAGCACGTTCAGTTGCCTGAGAACATCACAAACGAGAGATTCAGCTGGGTTCCAGGTGAGTCTTTCGAAAAACCCTCGAAAAAATCAGTTTGCAAATGAGTGCATATTCGGTAATAAATTCGTTTGCATTTTGCACATTACTTGTAGCAAATACGCCTATTTTGCTGACGATCTAGGTGTCCAGGCGATTCAGCTTTTCCATCATGGATAACGCATTTGATGTACCATTGCAATACCACCATATGAAATATCGAGCTGGACAGTCCAATGGAGCTGAGAAACGTAGCACCAGTTGGTGAACCGGATCCAATAAACCAGAGTCGTCCTGGAGAATTCACATAAATCACCGCTTTTTATGTTGGTACGTCAGGTTATTACAGTAAGGCGGACGAAGTTATGCCATTTTGTCATGCCAGTCTATAGAATGGCTCCGAAATGCCTCTAAATGGTCTAGGGTGTTTTATCAAGCTCCCATTCAATCATTGAATAAATCACCGCAGTAGAGTAAAAAACATCTGACACAAAAGTGGCTTCAGTCGTTGTATTTGAACCCAAGCTCTCGTCGACTGGTCTCGATTACTGAGTAGTATCGATAGTAACTCATGATGGTGCAGTCAGTGGACTTGAAGGCACACATGAGAGAATGACAATTCACACGGTCGTGCTTACAATTGCTTGTCATTGCCATGATGAACTTAGAAGCATTGCTTTAACCCTGTGATTAGCCCCGGCTATAAGTTCACGGGGCAAGAGCATCAGACAACTATGGATATACTAGTGCCTAGTGTGAGCACACGTGACTGCCGTTACGTCCTCGAATGTTTTCGTAAATCGGTTGGCTGGACCTGTAACATAAGGCAGCGCGTGACACTGTTATGTCTATCAAACCTGACTGGACAAATGGTCAGTTTGGAAAAGAGTGCCGATAGTGGACTGGCTTCAAGGCATTGCATGTGCGTCATATGTGCTTACAGTGAAGAAGATAACACCACCATAGGAGGTAGCTGCGCGCGTATTCAGACTTGCACTTATTTGTGCAACAAAAGTGAGTGTCTGTGCCCATCAAACAAATCCATTGGGCGATATTCCCCTCGAATTTCTAAGGAGATCGTATCGTGTCACATTAAAGGTGCCCGGTGCTTCGCTGATCGGCTATATCATGTGCTGGACGTTTTTCTTTCAATTTTACATGTACGTACCGAATGGGTTTTCAAATAAGTTTATCTATATTTTAGAAGTCAAAATCAGTTTTGGATCACCGTTTAAAAATAGTAGCATTCTGTTCCATTATCGCATGCAATTAAAGTCTCGAATTGCATCCGTCAAGCAATGAATGGTTGGTGCAAAACTAACATGCCAGGTGGCCAGGTGTTCATTGATGCACAAGAACTGGAAGCCCCAAACAGCCAAGGAATTCTGGGATTATCACGATATGGAAGTAGAATACACATCAGGATTTATGCAAGCTAACCAAAAGCTAGTAAAATCGTGCACGTACCCAAATGATGTTCAAAATAAGTTGGAAGGCATTAGTATTGGGTAATCGCTTAAACACTCGACAAATTTTTAATCATGTTGCAAATATTGGCCAAGTTCATTCGTACTAAACCTGGGGTTTCTGAGACATACAGTTATGTTGGTTATCGGGTATTTTTAGGATTTATTTGGCTGATTACCTGATCAAATTTGATGCAACGAATGTGGATATTACAGGTAAAATCGTTCGTTCTGTAGACTGATGTTTTCTCCGTACCTTTCAGGAAATTCTACCGATAAAAGACCTGAATGGATGAAGAATTGTCCACTCTTACGAAACCTTGGGAGGAATCGATTCACACACTGGGGAAATAAAAAATTTCACCCTGGTAAAAATGCGCTAACTTCCCACTGGACAGCTGCTTTGATGTTTCCGAAAATGATTGCTGTACAAACAGTACGGTGTCTGTTCAAGCGGACTATGTAACACAAAACGACTGTGGCAAAAATCAGTTCGTTTGATGACCTTATTTATAGTCATTCAGTTGTCATGCCCTTTCAGTACCTAGCTGGATGCCATCTGAAGGAATCAAGGGGGCTGTGATACTGTCAGGTTGCCAAAGCTTAGAAAGAAGCAGTGGAGTTCGAATCAAGGACCTTTCAGTCAGTAAGTTTCCATCTTAACCAGTGATCAATCGGAGGCAGTGTTCGAATCCGATGGTTCGGCAGGTACCGTCAAAATAATTAGCGGGCTACCTCAGTTGTGCACACAGTGCTTTAGACAAAAAGTTGCCAAACATGGAGAGATGCCAGCTTCCAGGGTGCTGAACTTTGCGACCAAATTATTGTTGCAGTAAGATAGCTAACTGCAAACTGCTAAGTACGAGATGTGCACAACGCAAAGGACGTAAGTGTGCTTTCCGACAACCAAGCCACTATAGATGCAGCATTACTGTGTGATGAGCCCAATGATCGGTCTTTGGTATTTCCAATAGCCTCTTCCCTGCGATCTTTGCTATGGCACTTGATTCACTGGTTTGTTGTCAAATAAACCACGAGAAAATACAAAAACACGATAACCTACCGCCTCCATAACTACTTATAATCAATACTTGGCGGTACTACATTGAACACTACACAAGTCTTGACTTTTTATCTGATCGATTTTACGTAACCGAATGAAGTGGCGACAGGCAAAAGCAATGTGAATACAATGCGTGATTTATAAAACGTCACGTACAAATATAAAAACAGTAATAATAATCAACACCCCTTAGGTATTTAGCTTGCATGCTATCCGAAGAGAGCATGAAGACCGAGACAATGTCACGTTGCCCAAGACAGCAGCAGTAGAGGTGTCGGGCTTGGAATCGAACTACGGATTTTGCGGTCAGTGAGTTCATGCGTTGATCGCCGATTTACTTCGAGCTCAAGTGTACATCAACCGAGGAAAACCCCAATGGTCCTTACTAGCCGGCAACACAATCCATTCACGCAAAATCACATGAGACGATCTAGTAAGTTGATATTCGTGTAGAAATGATAATCTGAACGGACAGTGGTCACGTGATTGACCACGGGCGAGATGGACCAAGTGGGTAAAGCGCGAATTTACTGACCGGAAGGTCCGTGGTTCGAACCCGACCTCTGCCTCTCGACTTCCTCTGTCTAAGCTTGGGCAACCTGGCAGTATCCCAGCCCTCGTGCCTCCTTCGGGTGGTATGGCAGCTAGGCACCGAAAGGGTGCTGCAGCTGAACGACGTGATTGACCAGCTATTTACTAAAACTGATAAGGGTTCCAAGGAAATGCAATTTGTTTGCTAACCTATGTGTGTGCGCATGTGCGGTGAACAGTTGACGCAAGCGATCGCAATACGCGAAAGTCAATCTCGGGGGAGGATTGTGTTCAACCGACACTATTAATCTTCAACAGGCGGTTTGTGAAGATTGCACAATGTTCCTGTGAATCATATGTTACTAAGGTCTGCGATACATGAGCAGCCTAGGCGGAATACTCAAGCCTGTGATGCCTATTATAAAACGTATTAACCAACAGGAATGTCATGTCTGTATTGTGCCAGCAGTCATACAGGCAACGGTACAATTAGGGAACCAATGAGAGTAACATCGGTTCAGGTGAATCTAGTAAACCCAAAAGAAGTGACTTTCCTTGACACTTCAATCGTTTCCATAGGAAAACGCGTAAACGAAGGGAGGTTAGTGTTTAAAACATGTAGAATAACTTTTCACAATGTTGATAACTAACGAGAGAGGAGGATTTGGCATATCCCCAGGGAATTCCCACTCCGATAGGATCACGTACCAGACTAAACTGACTGCGAACGCTCGTTTTGGGAGTCCGTTTTGCCTAATTCGGGACTCGGATCCTCAACAGTGAGTAACTACCGTAGGTCGTGGAACGCAGCAAGTACAACACATAGTATCGTTCACAATAAGAAGTGACTCCACACCATAACCCCCCCCCCAGTAAGCAAGCCAAACACTCGGTATAACTAACCGAGATGAGTAAGTTTGTAAAAGAGCAGTTGGCATTTATTTTGGGAGGCTCACGTCAAATCGTGGTGGATGAGGAAACGTGTTGTGAACTCTCTGGAAAGTTGCAACCTAGACCGTCCCTTTCCGGAACGACTAACTTATGCAACTCGGCAACCAAAGCAGTCTGTGAGAACCGAACAAATCAGACACGAATGAGCTGGGGAAAAAACCAACCTGCAATTTCTCCAGTCTCTGCTGGACAAGCGCACCCAGTCGATCCAACTCCCGTTTGCGATTCTCGGCAAGATGATCCACCCGGCCCAAACCATCGAGATCGATCTCTAGGTGTTGCGTCATCTCGTCAACGCGCTCACGTAGTGATTCCACTGAGGCGAGTACGGCTTCCCTACCTACTTGACTATTATTAGCCAAACTCTGGTTTATTTCTTTCAGGCTTGCTGTGACCGCAAAGAATATTTCCCGCGCAAAGTTGATCGCCCGGTTGCGGAGAACTTCGTGTGCGTGTCCTACTGAACCAGTAGGGGCTACTGCAAAAGCAGAACAAAGATGTTGCGGTACAGATTCAACACTGAAAGTGACGTACAATGGACAAGCGGTGCAATCAAGGAAAAACAGGCAAGCATACTAGTGAGGATAGTGACGAGAAATTTACAGGAAACGGATGACTTACAGGACTCAGCGTGTTGCCTGAAAATAAGAGATTTGACAGTGCCAGGTGAACGACAGGCTCAGATTAGAACACAAAATGACAAAATGACCAAGGAATAAAAAATTTTTAAAAACCCCATCATAGCATAGCGTCGGTAAAGATGCCCTGGACGATCGTGAGTTGAAACGTTAACAGCTGTTTTGAAAGGCCGATTAGAAGTGTTGGATCGCACAAAAGTGGTTAGGGTAGAATGATTGCAGTACCGACCAACACCATTGGTAGGTATTCACTAGCCGCCAAGTAATAATGGAAAATGAGCAATGATGAAGACGCCTTTTCAACTCCTTTTCATGAAATATTCCACGGTCTGGAGATCAAATTGGTCGTCCCCAAACAGCCAGGAATCAACTAAAGTACGCACATTGAATACGCTAGTCTCCTTCGGGTTATCCGGAACGTCAGACAAAGTGCACTTGAGATTGATTGAGTCCTCCCGAAGTACAGAGCAAATCACTATGTGACGATGCTTCAGAGACTTGACTATGGTCTTTTAGACAAGACCGTCAAAAATCATTTGTAGTTTCTGATAAAACCTGTGTCGCACATGTATGATGCACTGCCGTAAAATCGTACTTTATCAAAGTAGTTTTGTGTTGAAAAAACAGCTGAAACATCTACGAAGGGAATCAACACGTAACTGTTTTGCGCTTTCCAATAATGAAACTATGGACAAAAACTGAAACAGTTACCAACCAAGAGCTTCAGAGTAAAAAATAAACAAAAACTCCTGCTTTTGGCCATCAATGTCTCCAACTTAACATTCGATTCTAATGAGAACGTCAGATCAGTAACAAAGAGACCAGCTTTAAAAGATGTGAACGATTCGGGATAAATTATTTATTCACGGACCATAGAATACTCTAACACGCCGACGTGCTCAGCATACCGGAGCGGAGCTCACACTTATCTAATGAGTGGATGCAAAAAGCTCAAAAATTGTCATAAAGTGGCTCGGCAGAGGAGAAGGAAATCCTACACTCGCACACTTGGTATAATGGCTGGGTAAACAAGTACTCGGGATACCATACGACCTGAAGTAGCCTGGCGGTTTGTGTGCTGACACAAGTTCAGTTCCAACAAATACAGATCTTACGCCCGATCCTATTGCCAGCCTTGTTAACCTTAATGATTTGGAAAAAATTCCAAAAACGTTTATACGCACACCATTTAAAGAAGCGTGAAGCCTCCACCACGATTCCGTTTAGTTAAAATGAACTAAGGAATCCAGTGCACTTTTGTACCTGGCACATCAAAACGCAACACCAGGTGACTACAATTCTAGATTTTTACACAGAACCCATTTTAATAATCCTGAAGTTCCGGGGTGAGCATGGTAACATTTGTAATATGTTCTATTTATAAACACTGTTACTACCACTCTTCCGCATTTCAGCTGCTGTTCGGAATAGTGAAGCGTTATTTATGGGCCTTTGTCCTCACTCGCCGGAATCATATACCAAGCCTGCTTCATAATTTGGTACACAAAACAATACGGACTTGTCTAAGAAGCCAAACTTTCGTGGGCGGTCCATATTGCCCTTCTGATTTTTTAGTTCAAGGCTTTGGCAAATAGCACAAACAATCCATAGAGCGGCGAATTATACTCAAAACACTGATCACCATACAGACAAATTAAGACCGTACTTCGAACGCCTCGAATAACCGTGGCTCGTCAAACATGTTTCATCCAGGATACCAACGACTAGTCGATGGTGCAGAGCACGGGCCATAATCTTGCCTGTTGTACATAGAAGGCTGATTCCGCGGTAGGTACCCATCAAATGCAGCACACATGGTCAGTAGTCTTTTGCCATTGTTGATCATTGATCCGATTCCACATGAACCCAATAGCCTCCCACAGGTTGCCAAGTCCTCGTCAATCCGAGAGGAAGTTGCCTTAAGGTGCAGATCCAACTAGATCCAACAGTTTCTTGTGGAACTTGTACTTTTGCCCATCTGACTATGACAATGTATGGGCTCATCAATTATCCTGAGGTTTACGTGAATGTAAGTTGCGAATGTGATCTCGTATTCAAGACGGCTTTCTTTGCTGTTCCACTGCATTTGGGGGTATTACCAAAGCCAGCCTCTCGTAGCTTACCCTTATCAGCTAACCGGTCGGTCTATCGTGTAGTTTTCGAGCTGTTTTTCAGCAAGTGCAATTCTATTTTTCGCCCGTCTTGTCTTTACCAATCGTCGAGTGCAGAGCTAGAGGCTTTCGAGTGCTACACCTGGAAATAGGCGCCCACTTCGAGCACCATATTCCAAGCCTTTGACTGCAAGGTCCGTCCCAAAAAGCAGTGAGAGAGTGAGGCAGCCTGGTAGGGTAAGGAGTAAGGACTGAATGTCTGGCCCGTAATGCCACTGCGCACAGCTGACCGTAAGGGTGAGTATGAATTGCCTTATCATTAAGACCGTTCACAACGTCTGAAGATAGGCTACAGTGCGCCAACAGAGTCAGTGTAAGCCGCTCCCAAACAATGTGCATAAGGACCGTCAGCCCATCCGAGTGTATGGATGTGCGGTCGATGAGTAATGGATAGAGACACAAAGGTGATCCCATCTCCACCATGCAAACGAGGCTCCATGCAACATGTATGTTATTGGTGCCTGGAGTTAGGTGCAATAATAGAAATGGTTATGCGCGTAGGGCACCCATCAGTACAATGGCATAAGATGATGAAACCCGTTGGTGATGATGCATTTTCCGCTTCTTGGAAAGAAGTTCTGTTTCACGATGAGTGGTCTTTGCCTGGAGGCAGTTTCCAGTGTCCACATCTAGTGCAATATGAAAAACCTCAAGGAATCAAAAGATAGTCCATATACGAGGATGGTCTTCTTATGAAGAGAAAATATGGAGGATAAATACAGCTATATAGTATGACTATATAAATCATATAAATATATACAAATATGTGAATAAATAATCATAGGAGTTCAGCTGTTGCACTCTTTTGGTTCACTGCTCTAAGGTAACCCAAAAGAAGCACAAGAACTAAGATACTGTTAGGCCACCAGGCCAAGACAGGGAGCGCAGAGATACAGGGGTTGGGTCCGAACAACGAACCTTCTGGCCAACCAGCTCGTATCTCTACCATTGAGCCATCTTGATCTCTATGTCTACATGTACAAAACCTACATCAGGGGTAAGCTTGTGGTTTATCAAATGTCTTTCAAGTCTGTTAGAACGCGGCGCTCCAATTACGCTTAGGACAAAGATATCACTCAAAGCTATGAGATAGTCAAGTGACGCTCTGCAAGCCTCTGTACGATAGACCGCACGTTTGCCGGAGGCTGCGAGAGGTTGTGACAGCAACTGCGGTACACCGGAAACTCAGCATACAAATGTATTTTGAGTAAGCCGGGTATCTTCATCCATTTATCGGTTTCACCTGGTACTCAATAACACACGGGCTAACAAATGGTCTCAAGGATTTCGGAATATTAGAGAAGTTAGAGAGGCGAAAAAGTTCTCAAACTATATCAGTCGACTCGCACTGGAATTAACATTGATAATGCAAGCACTCACGGCAAATTAAGTCGCTCAATCGTCTTCTTCAGGTTCTGAGACCCCTCAAGTACTCGCTGGTGCAGGGCATCAATATGTCTGACAATTTCATCGTATTCTGCAGTGGCACGCGGAGAGTGCAGTCCACCAAAGGATATATACATGAGCACGATCATCCATAGGGAAATTAGCAAGAAAGCTATCGTTTTGAAGTAACGCATTCTTTCGGATGCTGAAAACAGGAAGACGTAGTTAGCACAAACGCTGTGCGCTTACCTGACGGAAACATCACTTGTGGAGCAGGCGAAATTCATAGACGCGGTCTGTATAAGGCACCAATGAACTAGAAGAACAAAAGCAATGGATCGGCCAATCCTTGGGATTCCATGTTCATGTGTGTGCTATAACCAAAATATCCCGAGATAACTAAAATGCTCGTCAAGTACACTGACGGATACGGCACAAACCAACGACGGATATCCAACTTTTATGGAGCAGTCAGGCGAATAAACACTCGCTTCTGAATTGAACGCTTCATGTTCCCTTGTGAAAATCAAGTGTATGGTTTCGTTGGCCAATAGGTTTTCTCTCATTTCAAAGAGATAAAAAACCCGTGGCGGGAATAGTAGCAGAAAGCCGAAATGTCCCAAACGCAAAAAACGAGCGAGCTCCTTCTACTCAAGGTTCAACAATACAGCGGATATTTCAGTTATATGAGGCTCAAGGATACACGGTGACTTCTAATGGATGAGATGTATCAGTTCAAACCCATGCCATGATGGCTCCAAATTACTTCCACATACTGCTGTTTATGTTGCTGATGCCAAAAGTGTGGCACGTCACGTGTGAGTAGAGCAGAGGATCGTAAAAGTTTGTCTTATCTGATGCTTGTAATCAGGGAAGATGAATGTGTTCAATGATGAGGGATTACAGTGCTTTTCAACCAATAGAAGCTCTATACCTTCACTCAAAACATGGTTCTACAGCCATCCACTAGCATGCAAATAGTTCAGTCAGAAGTAATGATGGCATCACAGCAGACAAGATAGCAAAATTTCAATCAATTTGTCTGGCAGCCAAGTTCCGTGGGCATATGCGCGGAGGTCCAGGCCGCAAAGGTTCCGGCAGCGTGTTATGTACAATAGGGAAGTACAGAAGAGGATAACAGATAAAACACCGCCACCAGTCGCGAGATCTCACCACGTTAGTTGCTATCTCCAGCCGTTTGGTTTGGTGTCTTTGGTAACTCAAGCCCTCAGACACCGTAAGGTTATCCTGCTCCATACCCACCTCTCCACATTGTATTGCCTTCCAACTGGAACCCGCATCAGCAAACAGGGCACGATGAGACAACCGGCCAACTGGCACACAGAGCACCGGTGAAGCAAACTTATTTGGTGCCACCAAATCACTTCATCAAATAGATGTGCAGCTGGTTTGTTGCCAAAAACACTCATTGAAGTTCACAGTTAATTCGATGTTCGCATGATTATATATATATATATATATATATATATGCAGACGCTGATACTTCCCGACATAGAATATATATTAGAATGTAAATACTTGATAATCAGAATGTGGGGAAAAGTCAAAGTTCCTTGGAGCTGATGGCTCATATGTTTGCAGGCAACACTAAGCTGTTAACTGTAGCAAGTTACCACCTAGGATATACTCGTTACATAGGGACCATTATGATTATCTCACCTATCAAGTGCTATTTTGAGTTGACAATTTGTGTCGCAGAAATACGACCCAAAGGCGCGACTTCGTTGGTCTAGTTTCTGATAATGTGATTCGATCAATAGGTACACTAAATGCATGTATATGCGAGCGGTTATTGTGTATGCCATCAGGATTTATATGAAAACGAATTTGGTGTTTCCTCATGACTGATAATGTCAGGCAAAGATGTATGCATTCTAGGCCGAATACCTAGCACGTATTCACAGAGAGGAGTGCTTTGCCGAAGCGAATGTATCTGTTTCCCAGGATTTGCTTCTATCCAAGACGGCTGCATGAACGGTCGTCCGAGAATCTTATTCTGAGCACATTACAAGAGGGGTGTTCATTCGTTTAGCGTCTGGTATCATCATCGTTGATAGTAACAACAACGTAGAAAACTGGTGTTTTGCTGTTCTACAACCACAGCTATTTTCTCAAACAAAACCCCTTGCGGAAAACAAATATTGAAAGAGGAGACGCACCAAGTGATTTTGTGCTGCTGTGCTTTCTTTCAGCACAAAGGCCCAAAAAGTTGTGTGCAAAATCTGGTGGGCTCCTCCAGTAAGTCCTATTATCAAACTACATGATTTGTCGAAAAATATCTACCAGGCATTGAGTGTAGCTGAGAACTATCAAGCGAAGTCGATGGCCTGACGCCTACTGGATGAACCTCAAGTGAAGCCTTTAAAAGAGAAAAAACTAAGGCCACATGGGTAATAAAGTCTTGAAATTTTAATACCCCCGTGTGATGCACTTTGTAAAGCATAAGCCATTCGTGAAGAAAGCTATGGTAATGACTGCAAGAAGATATCCTCCAAATCATTTTCGGTTTTCGCTTGGTTCCCATCAGGATCGACCACCTGTTCAAACGACTTGCTTCCGGTAGACTCTGTCAGGTGTACAAGCCAGAGAGGAACTCCGCTTCAAAAATCAGACGCAAAATATCAGAGTACGGTACCCTGAATGCAACGAGGAAACTGTTAATAGAGTGAATAACGCAGTCTATGTGGAAGATTGTGACGCCATAAGTATCCTAATGGTTCTCATGTTCCGAATTATCCGATCTCGTCACTTGAGAAAGTTTTAAAATCTGCCGCAACAGCCAAGGTGAAACAAACTCTACCAGAAGCTATGACTGACACTGTGGAGCGGACAGGTGTCCAATGAGTCAACATAGTCCTGTGTACAGTATATCTATGCCGCGTTTCCGAGTTGGGTCGCCTGAATCTAAGGTAACTAGCGCCGCCATAAGTTAATGGTTCTCGTGTTCCGAATTATCCGATCTCGTCACTTGAGAAAGTTTTAAAATCTGCCGCAACAGCCAAGGTGAAACAAACTCTACCAGAAGCTATGACTGACACTGTGGAGCGGACAGGTGTCCAATGAGTCAACATAGTCCTGTGTACAGTATATCTATGCCGCGTTTCCGAGTTGGGTCGCCTGAATCTAAGGTAACTAGCGCAGAACTTTGAGGTATCAATCAAGATGACCCGGTCATCTGACTAAAAGACCTTGAAAAAGCAATAACACTTGGTCCTTCTCTCTCCAACCCAAAGATATGGAGTGAAGGGCATTACTGAATCGCGTAAAGAGACAGCTGCCCAACAAAAAATCGATTGGGTACGGTTTATACAAAACGTGCCATCAGAAATTCTTGGCCAAGAGGAAAGGAGTAAAATAATGTCGACTTCCATGTCGAAGAGGACAATGGACGACCTGAACTCGAAATCACGGGCGGTACAACCAATTTTGCACTCGAAAATGGAGTATAACCGGGCGGTTCTGCGCAGGTACACGCTCCCTTCAGAGGTGAGATGAGTTCTTTCTGAGGAAAGAATACAAACAAGAAGAGCAGCTAAGCAGTCAGATTGTTCATGGCAAAACTTATCGCCACAAAGAGAATCTCCTGGTGGCGAAAGATTACCTCCGAGAGTTTGTCAGCTAATTACTGCGTATCCTCTAGCTGGAGCACTGCAATAACTTTTTCGTATAACAACATGAATCTGTGTGGTAACACTGAAGGTATTTCCGTGGTTATAAACTTCATTAGGATTTCATGTCTTAGACCAGTATATAATTCGCTTTTTCAGTTTTCCAGCCGTGGTTGATATCTTTGGATCCCATCATGTTCTTTGTCAATTAACACAAGAACGCGACCTTGGCGTGGTACGTACCCCAAAACTTGGCTGATACAAAGAATAAATAAAATATGTCAGTCGAAAGATATGAGTCATCAGATGGTACTTATATCTTGGCTCAGAAGATCCTCCCGTCCCTATTTTGTGCTTAGGTCGAACCTATTTCGGAGTGTGAACGATCTGTCACATGTCCACCGGTAAAAAATTAAATGCTACCGCTGGAAAAAGTTCAGGGCCAAAAGACAAAAGCAGCTGCGGTGAACTGCATGGAGTGGGTGTTTCCACCGATTTATAGACAACACGAGACCGACCTGATGTGTAAGCAGAGATCCCCACAATTACTTGAATTTACTTCTCGAATGAGGCAGTTTGGGGGAACAGTTTGGCGGATAAAATGGTCGCACGTGAGCATTAATTATTACTGAAAGGCGTCATCCACAAGCGTGCATGATTTTAAATTCTCTACTAGCGGTATGGCACCAGATCTGACCACTCAATCTCAACTAAAACGACCAACTTGCTGGAATCTTGGACATGTATTCCTCCAGGTGAAGAGCACGATGTCAGATCAAGTTTAGACAGACGTAATGTGACAAAGACGCTCTGTCGATAGTGAAAGCCGAGGTCTGAAAATGACCTAACAATGGTCCAGCCGGTGCACAAAACAATCCCGAAGAGACCGCTGCTGCAATAAACTACCTACGGTAAAAGCGATCGACTTATCCCTACGAAATAACAACTACCTGAAACATCGGGCTGGGCAGTTTGAACAATAATTCGGCCGACCACACGCAACTGCTCAGCCGAATTCCCGATCCGCAATGGGGTCCTCGATAAAAAACTCAGAACCCCCGGGGAACCTTCAAACACGCGTCTTCTTCTCCAGACATCATCAAGCTACCGGTCCTGACCAACTCCTACCCGAATTCCTAAAATGTGAAGGGGGAATCATCAGTCGGTGCTTGTCCAACTAACTTACACATATTTGGGCAGAAACCGTCACAACCAAACACAGTAAGTTGACAGTCCTGACCATTTTGAGGAGAGTGCAATCGCAAAAGTACTAGATTGACGCTCCCATTCAGACACATTACGCCACTTTTCTTACATCGTCTCTATAATGGCTAATGAAGACGAAACCCGGGAATAGGAGGGAGGATTCCAGTCAAGGAGGGATGGTGTGGACTGGAGCTTCACAATCCGTCAGGACTTAGAACAAAGGTATGCGCATAGGTGCCCTAGAATCTTAGTGTTCCTTGATTTCAACAGTGCGTTTGGTTCGGGTCACAGAAACCTTCAGGCCCATTACCGCCAAAGTCTTACTACCATGGTTGCAATCGACTGGGATCAGTGGAGTGATTAGGAGACAAGGTTTTGGTGAAGACTGTACTGTACTGCAAACTAAGGTGGCTGTTACGCAATCCGATCTGTCTCAGATCGAGAGGAGCGCTGTTCTCCATGCCTAAATCGGTGTGGCGGAAACCTAGTGATGGACAGAATCTACCATGACAGAAGGAAATTTAGTATGTTGAAAAAAGTTTGGGTGCTGTTGCCTTTCCAGAATGGGACCCTCAGCTTGCTTGCTAAAGAAACAACGATATATCAGTCAAACGATACAGGTGGTGCTCATGCTGTAAGTTTCATTTCAGATAATCTGACTGGATGTTCGAGGTGTAGACACCTCGGATGCTTGTTAAAGGTAATCTCTGGGTTTTCCTCCATGTCCCTTTCTTATTCTTCTCATTATAAGGCTCTATACAAAGAAAATGACAATGATATATGATAGTGAAGCACACTTGACCTCATCTGGTGCAGCTCTCAGTGACGATGATGAAGACGATAACGTTCGATCCTGTCGATAATTTAGTTCTCCTCAATAAGCAAGCTTAACAGAATATCACGTGCTGTTTGCACTCGCATAATTGCAGGTACAAGCGTCTGACGAGCTCTTACAAAAGCTTTCCTTCTAGCAGTGGTGTTCAACAAGAATGTCAGCTCTCTCCACCTTTCTTTAGGTTTATAATTGATGTAGAGAACTCTAGGTCTTCAAAACTTTGTCGTAACCCAAATCACCCAAAACAATAAACCCTACTGACAAAAATAACTTCATACCACATTAGCCGTCAAGCAATCCCATCAACCAGGTAGCCTTACTTACTCTACACAGCAGGACACATAATTTAAAACGTATACTACTGACGGCAAGCGTTTTCCTTCTTCGTGTATTTTCATCTCCTTCTCCACAACACATTGACAACACACTCCACGTAGGCCTATCCGTTAAGACCGACAAGCCCATTCTTCTTGCAGCAATTTGGTGATGAAATTTTCGAGTTATCCAATGCTATCAACTTCAGACATCCTCAAACCAAATTTCAAACACCAAAACTCGGTTAAACTGGCTACTCATAATGAGGTAGAAAAGAAAACAGACTACTTTGCTCGACTCACAGTGTGTCACAAACACGAATTTAAGAAACGATCAGAGTCGTAGAGATCACTGCTTCATCACCCCCTATGCGCTTTCGGCTGCAAACGTCAGCAAACCATGGGAAGTGAAGAAGGCTCCGTGTTTTAAGTCCTAAACTGAGTGAACGCTTGTTCACAGCCGTCTCTATGAGGTTCGTCTGGCAAAGACGGAGAAGGAATCTCACATCACCTTAGACAATGCGAAAGTAACCTAGCGAATCTGTCTTGTTTTGGCTACGAAGAGCATTTTCGACAGCTGAGCATGTCTTCGGTGGCCCATCACCGACGTGATTTTATTTACTTTGCATTTACTTTGGATAACTCTCCAAATCTTGACTATTATTTGTGTCAGAATTTTTAAAAATGTACTCAGCAAACGATTAACGTCATGGGTGCAACCGTAAACATCGAACCAACACAAATATTCAACAGTGATGAACAGAGTTTCAGTCTGACATTAAAGTACAATAACCCGAGAAACACAAGAAGAAGACAATGAGCCTCGCGACCAATGCTCGCAATCGATTTGAAAAAACGCGCGCGGCGTTTTTCAGGCCAACTAGGAAAGGTTGTTCTATCGACCTGTTTAAATGCACGATGACCTAAACAGCTAATCATGATAGCGTTCCAAGGGTTTCGCTACTCTCAGTTCTCGGCGGCTACCGTAAATCAATTCCTCCTTGACGATTTAAGCCAGCTCGGAACCTTACTTACATACGTCACTGAGTCTGGAAGGTTGAAATACAGAGATTAAAAACAGGTTGAAACACGGGATCGGAGGGCAAAACCTAATGAATCTTCAAATTCTTGCTTTGGAACCTACATGTTTGAGCTTCGATATTCCAGTAGCAGGTGGAATTGTGATTTCGTCTTCCATTTGTTTTTTTCGTTCCCGGTTAGGATGACCAGTGAAAAGAGAATGTGGTTTAGCTGCAGAAAATCAAATAGATTTACATCATTTTCCGCTTGCCATAAGTAAACCGAAATTGTTTTAGGCGAAACTATGTGGTTTTCACATTTGCGAAATTTATGAGGAGTTAGTCTAATCTGTTTGCGCGTTTTGGTGATGCGTTGCTGATCGCACTTTGTTTAAATGCGCAACATTTCACTGTGGTCAACTCCAGTGATTCACATTTCATCACCGATTTACGGGATAATAAAGCGCACTTTAGCATATCTTAGCGTTCCGCGGTTCCTAAACAGTGACAGACCGCTCAAAGAACATCCATTACAAATTCATAAAGAAGTGTAGATGAATAAATTTTACATGCGTAAAACCCTCAAAAGTAACAAATTTGATTAGCCAATCCATCGAAATCCGGCACTACACAGTGTTTGGAAGGAGCTCAGCTTCCGTTATGTACAGCGAACGAAGAAAATTTGATGAGTTCTGCAGTGATGTTGCCAGTATATGCCTCTGTGGATGGTCTCCACTCTCTGTTTACGAAGCCCGTCAGTAGGTCACGTAGCCTTATGAAAATAATCGCGCTTTTAAGTTCGAATGCGCCATTCATCTCAACTACCTTGACTGAAAGTAAAGCCAACCACTGCTGCTCATCATGATAAACGGTGCTATGGCCAAACTTGGCTAACTATCGTGGCTGTTAGAATCGTGTCTATGCGCACCGCTGATTACGGGGCCTCAGGTAGGCACAGCAACCAAATCCAATGGCCAAAGACGGTCCAACACACTCAGAAGCGTACGACTTGTCACCTATTTTGGTTATGTACCGTGACCGCACGACCCACAAGTGTGTGCTCCGTCGACTATGCCACCTTACTCGTGCCCTAAATCCAGATGCACCGGTCAGAGACGGACATCCATCATCATAAAAGTATGCGTTGTCGCACGCCTCGGCTACCTATCTTAGCGTTTGAGCCCATTTCTATGTGCGATGCTGATTGTGAGGCCTCGACCATGAATGGCCACATAATCCAATAGGTAGCGATGGCCCTTCTTGCTCATAACTGTAGGTGTTGCCGCTCATCTTGGCAACATATAGGACACTTTAGGCCAGTTTCTATGCACGCCGATAAAAAACGCATCAACTAGGTGGGATAGTCTGATGTAGCGGCCGAAGATTGCCCTACATGCTCAAATCCGTACGTTTTGTCGCTTACCTCGGCTACTTATCGCAACTGCTATGTCCGTATCTGTAGGCCCCGAAAATAATAAAGCCTCAGATATGTATTAAAACCTAAACCGACGGCTAACAACGACCGTTCATCAGGATAACTGTGTGCGTTTTCCCTCCGACATGGCTGCGCTTGGAAATTACAAGACCAGAATTGGACTAATACAGTCATACTGGATAATCGCTACCCTTCGTTCTCTACATGAATGTTCCACGCAATGAAGTATCCGAAAAAACATGCTGAATGTAATCCCGTCTATATCTTCGGTTAACTGATCGGATATCTAACTGTGATGACGAAAAACTTACTTTTGGTCCCACCAGTCCCAGTATCGAGGACGAAAGATCCAGGTGCACAACGCTGTTAGACCCAAAAAAGTTGAAGCTAAAAAGGAGTAGGATCAGCTGGTACAGACTCTGTCCCTAGTATTCAAGGGCTACATGCCTGTTGAAACTTACGCCCGTGGATGAAGCCGTATCAGACTGTAGTGAGTCTTCGTGTCACATCTTCTTCTGAAGCCTGACTTCACTTTACTTCTGTTTCCCGACACGTATACCCTGTATCCTAACGGAAACAAATCTTCCGTCGTATTTCTAGCCCGTAATCACCTCACACTCTTTCAACGTAGTGGTGTCATCAACTATGGGTTACTTTTTGAACACCACCGGTGAGTGAGTTTGTAAACAACTCTTTTTTATCTACAGAATCTTGTTATAGCGGAAAAAGCTTCCAAATCTACGAAAAATAACATGCAGAAAGCCGCTCGCTTTTTCCATCTATTTGCGTAAAATGTATTCTGTCCATACCTGTTTCACCATCCACGCTGGGGCACTGCCACAGGTTTTCCTTTCACAATCTTGTTTGATCCATCCAAATACATGAACAGCTGGGACAGTCACCTCCAGTATGATCTAACACCAAGATCATCTAACGGGGTTCCAAGTTTTCAACAGCCTCATTGCCCACAGAACGAATGTCTTTTAATCCGCATCGGAGGAACATACACTTTCACAACTCCGTAATCTCGTTTTTGCCCTTTAAGTGTCAGACGGACCCTTGATATCCATAATCCATTCCCCTAATATGCTCTTCCTGCGATCAACATTTTCGATCACCATCTGGCCCTAAGCATCTACCAACCCCTTTTGAGCCACTTCGGCCTCTTCCGCAACTTTTATCACTGAATATGCAAACGTATGCACTGATGACAACTATTATTGTAACTGTATGCGTTCCCCCCAGACTCCTTCCCTGTCCACTTCTGCAGCGGCCAAAACGCAGAAACAAAACAATGCAGCCGTCGTCAAACGCCTGTCTCTGGCTTGGGTTTGGTTCACTTAATGCATGGGGCATGATTCTTACCAATCAATTCGTTTTGCAGAGCTTCTGGGCTTTTCTTTAGATTCTTTTTCATTATGCTAAGGTAATATGCCAACTATACCCCCCAACTAATGTGTTATCGTTTCCTATAGACCCCTACTAGTAACTTGTCTTCCTCTGCAGCCACCTCACCCACTCTCTAAATGGGCTTTACTAAACCTTCCTAAAGAATCTGTGGCGGCTTTGTAAACCTCTTCTTCACTATAGCACGCTCAAATAAATAGTAGCCCTTCTTTTGCAGACACCTACCAGCCAAACCTCAGCAACGCGATGTGGATACGAGGGCATAGGCGCATCAGCTGCGTTATCGGGCAGCACCTATTTACACGCCCGCTCTTCTGCCCAGCTGCGCGGACGATATATATATTTGGTTGCACAATAAACATTTGAATATGAACAGGCCAACTTGCATAGACCGCACAAGGCCATCCCTCACTATCTGCGCCATAACGTCCAGCATCGGTTAAATTCGAGCACTATCGCTAGGCTAAATGTTTATATTCAGCGTTGTCCACAAACTTACGTACAACGTCGCACTTACGGGACCGCGACAGACAGCCTGACGTGTAGCCCGTGGCTCAAAATATATCTAACGTTTCCCCACCGAGCTTGTTAAACGTGCTCAAAATACCATCTCACTCCACTGAACTTGTGCCACAACTCTAACGTATTTTCCGGCTCATTTCATTTCCTGTTCAACTAATTTCACTCATGACACTCTCTACGGTACAGCATACATCTGAAGATAAAACCCTGCCGTGCAATCGATAGAGCGTGTGCGTGAACATCACGAAAAAGATCTAACCAACGTGCTAGTTGAGATATATCCGTTGGCCTTGGCCGGCAGGTTGCTATATCCAACCTTAGAAAACTTTTGCTACATAGCTTGCGAGTGACCGCCCCACTTTGCGTTAAAGCGTACAGAGGCGGCATAACTGTTTCTTATGTACCCCTGCAAAATATTTACCAACCCCATGCAGGAGGAGACATGTAAAAAGACGGACTTTTTTACAACAATTTAACCCAATCCACCGAGAGATGGAACAAAGGCCTTGGGCCAGACGCACGCCGAAAATTTCTCTGAAACCGTGGTTCGAAGGAGGAAAACTTTAGTATAAAGTTTTAACATTTGATGTTAATTTTTCGGGCGTATGAGATCTTCCCAAACGGCCGCAGTTTTGTTGAAAGTTGTTTAAATCTACTCGATCCACACGATATTCAAAACCCGAAATATTCATATTTTTAATGGCTGCTATGGCTGAGCACGTGA